CATAGAGAAGTCTGGTGTAAGTCTGATAGGTTTACCTTTATAAGTTACTTGACTTTTTTCCTTTGCAGCTCTTAATATTCTTTCTTTAATCTGTATGTTTTGTGTTTTGATTATTATATGGCGAGGGGATGTTCTTTTATGATCAAGTCTATTCGGTGTTCTGTATGCTTCTTGAACCTTCATAGGAATATCATTCTTTAGGTTGGGAAAGTTTTCGTCTATAATTTTGGTGAATATACTTTCTGGGCCTTTGATCTGCAGTTCTTCTCCTTCTTCAATCCCTATTATTCTTAGATTTGGTTTTTTTTTATTGTGTCCCAGATTTCTTGAATGTTTTGTGATGAGAATTTGTTGATTTTGCTGTTTTCTTTGATCAGAGCATTTATTTTCTCTATGGTATCTTCAGAATCTGAGATTCGTTCTTCCATCTCTTGTATCCTATTGGTTATGCTTGATTCTGTAGTCTCTGTTCGTTTACCTAGATTTTCCATATCCAGCTGGCCCTCGTTTTGTGTTTTCTTCATTGCCTTCATTTCGGTTTTCAATTCTTGAACTGTTTCCATTACCTGTTTGATTGTTTTTTCTTGGTTTCCCAGTGTATCATTCACGGATTTACTCATTTCTTCAAACTTTTTGTTATACTTCTCATCCATTTCTTTACTCATTTCTTCAATCTTTTTGTTGTACTTCTCATCCAATTCTTTAAGGGAGTTATTCATACCCTGTTTAAGGGACTCTATTGCTTTCATAATGGCTTTTTTCAACTTCTTCTGGATTAAGAGGTTCAAGTCCTTCTATTGTAGGGTCATTGGGATCTGGGGTTTTCCAGATTGTTGGAGGAGTTCTTGCCTTGGCGTCTGCCCATCTCTTACTTCAAATGCTCTCTATTGGATCTTCTGATACAGGGTCAGGTTCCCTTGTTGGGCAGGGACTTCACTGACAGAAGGCCTACCTTTCCTCAGGCAGGCTATTGAAACACAGGCACTCTCTCCTGCCGGGTTGCACTCACAGCCCAGGCCCAGTGCTCAAGGCAACTGAGCTGGGGAAATCCCCTCCTCCGATGGATGCCTGCTAGAAGATCACTGCCCCTTGCTGGCCAGGAATGTGGCTGAGCTGACACAGGGCCCACCTGTCCTCAGGCAGGCTATCAAAGCACAGGAACTGCCTCTGCCGGGTTGTGCCCACAGCCCAGGCCCAGCACGCAAGGCAGCTGCACTGGGGAGATCTTATGGCCACAGGGGGAAGGGGGAAAGAGAGGAAGGTGTACCTGGATGAACGCTGGGATGGGATTTGGGAGAGCTCAGCAGGGTGGAGCCACCACTGCAGGGTGACCAGGAAGTCAAGGGGGTCGGGAAAAGTCTGAATTACTCCTTGCCTGGCCTGTGCCTCGGGCCAGGAGCATACTCACTCCTCCTCCAATGGATGTCTGCTAGAAGATCACTGCCTCTTGCTGGCCAGGAATGTGGCTGAGCTGACACAAGGCCCGCCTGTCCTCAGGCAGGCTATCAAAACACAGGAACTGCCCCTGCCGGGTTGCGCTCACAGCCCAGGCCCAGTGCACAAGGGAGCTGTGCTGGGGAGATCCTATGGCCTCAGGGGGAAGGCCTCCTTTCTCTTCTTTTGCACCAGGTTTCCTCTTCCTCCTTTCAGATCTGCTTTGGCAACATGGCCTCCTAGAAGCTCCCCTGGTTCATTGGCTGAAATGTCAGTTTCTTGGAACTCACTTTCCTACTATGGACTCTAACACTGCTGCCATCATAAACATTCAATTGATTTTCATCTGGGCTCTAGAACATTTTACGCAGTATTGACTTGTATCATCCAGCTTATCATCCAATTGAGCTCCTGAGACCCCCACCTTGAGGCACAGAAGGCCCAGCAAAAAGGTAGGGTACTCAGAGCAAACGACTGGTCAGTGGCAAAAGAGGCCTTGGACAGTGGAAGGCATGAGAACCAGGCAAAGGCAGACACAAGGATAGCAGAGATGGAGCAGAGAGTGGTACATTCTTTAAACAGCAGGGACAAAGACCAACAAGGCCTGCACATCAAGATGGGACTGGAAAGTCATAGGGCTGGAGCTAGTATGGCTGCAGAAAAGTAACAGGGAAAAGTAAGTTAGCCCAAAAAGTGTGACCATGACAGCCCTTGGATAAGACTTCTTGCTCTGTAGCCTAAGAATGACAATAGGTCACAAAATCGGAAAATTCTTTGGTAAACAAAGTTTAGAAAACACTTTATCAACAGGTAAACAGGTTTCCTCATTTCAGGCCTTCTTAGAATTTTTGCTAAATTCCCATGATGGGTGAGTCATTACCCATGAGAAATATGCAATGTAATTCAGGGTCTCTGAACTAGTCAGTTGTGGGTGAGGGAGAGATAGTACTGAATGTGCATCCTGAAGAAAGGCCTATGATGAGGATAATTTAGTTTGGGGGCATTGGTTCTGGAACTTCCGTGAAGCCATCAGCATCTAGCTCAGGCCCTCATCCAGTCCTTTGCTTCCCCTGTATCTGGGTCTCTGCATTGCTGAGAAGTGAAGCAGGCTTTTGAGAAAGTTCCTCCAGGAAAAGCTAATAAGCAGTTCAAAATTTATTGTGGGAAAACACTCAACCCAGGGGATAGCCTCCCCCAAGCCCCTGGACTGCAGCAGATGGTGTGGTTTAAATTTCAGAAATTGAGGAGTACTTAGGGAAAAAAATGTTGGCAGGCACCAAGGCACTTATAAAACCATCCGAGCTGATGAAGGAATTCAGGCCTCATGCCTCTAGAAGATGTGACGACATGAACAGAGGTGAGGAACCTGAAGACTACGATGATGGTCTTCTGACAGAGGCTTCTGGACTGGAGAAAGAGAAGGGACAGCAAAGAGAGAGAGGGGAGTAGGCCCAGTGCTTTCTGAAACCCTACACTGAGACAGACCACAGAGCCTACTCCCTTTGAGGCAAAGGAAACTCTCTACCTTCACCAGATGATTGGAGGTCAGGGGGAGGAGGGTACTGAATGGGAGGGATAGTAAATGGTGCTTCTTGGGAAAGATCCAGAATTCCTGAATCACAAAGATTAGGACCAAGTCCTGACCTTGCCACTTTCTAGCTGTGTGACCTGGGATGTGACTGCTGGCAACTCTCCCTTTCTTCAGCTATAGGGAGGAATATCTATAGTAATATAATAATATAAAAAGGACTCTGAGTTAGTGCTTGATGCAGCAAGCGAAATTGTCGGCTGCCATTGTTTTGGGCAGACATGTAGGTGGCAGCTTCACTGGTGGTACAGATGAGTAGGATCAGACCTAGTACACTTGTGGTAGGAAGGTGGTAAAGACTCCATGGGTAGTAGCATGAGTTCTAAGGTCTGCAGGCCCTGGTTGCCTGTATGTGTGCATACTAGGAGCTCAGTAAGGGAGCTTTTGTCACCAACATCCCTCGGCATACTTCCTCACCTTAGGAACACTGCCTCTACACATGAACCATCTATGCACATTCAGAGTGTTTGCTATGCTTTACATGGAAGCTAGACCAGAAGAAATGCAGTCACCTTCAGCTGCTTCATATTCCATGACTGTGAATCAAGAGGATGAACCACTTGCAAGTTGGCATTGATAGCATGCTATACAATGGCTCACAGATGAAGGAAGTAGCCATATTGTTGGGTCATATATTGACCAGAGCAAGCTGGGCAGTTTTTACTTTGAGAGATATTTTACCAGCATTAATTCTGCTAGTTTTATAAAGAATTAGTGATGCCTGCAGGTCCCATAAACAGAAGTGTGAGGCTAGGATGGAAGCAGAGGGAGGAAGAGCCAGGGCAGAAGAAAGAAAACGAGATCTGTAATATGTCAGAGGTGGCCACTCAGTAGGCATCTGGAGTGGCAGAATGATACGAGTCACACACATTTGGCTATGACACTGACCTTGGCATGGAAAGGACATGTTATGCCAACTGTAGCCATTGATGAACACACTTGCTTGAGAACAAGTACTAAGTATTGGGAGAGAATGGTGGCAAGGACTTTGTCCTACAAGTGTGATGATCTGATCTATCATTAAGTTGGGACATTAATCGAGAAACTGTGCCCAATGTCTACTGGACTGAACAAGACGATCACTGGCCCTAAGGGGTAAGGAGCTGTTCACAAAGACACCACACTTGACCAAAATGGAGGCTACTTTTCAAAAAGGAAACCTAAAATTGGTTATAATTGCACAAGTCTACAATCTTACCAAATAGGATGCTGAGGCAGGAAGATTAAATATTTGAGGCTGGTGAGATGGCTCAGTGTATACAGTCACTTGCCACCATGACTGATGACCTGGGTTTTAGCTGCAGGTCCCACATAGTGGAATTTCACTGACTCATGAAATTCTCATCTAATCTCTGTGCATGTCATGGCATACGTGTGCATGCATGCACGTGTGCACGTGCACACACAAAATACAAATTTAAAAAATGTTTAGGTTAGACTACACAGTGAGTTCTTGGCCAGTATGAAATAGTGAGATTTTGTCTCAAAAAGGAAAAAAAAAACCGGTGGTAGAAGTATGTAGGATGGGGAGTAAATGTTTCTGAGGTTCACTCAGCTAAAGCAGCTTAACCAAATAGGTAGAACAGCTATGACCAGATCATTAAATGGGTTAAGACAGTGTCCCGCATCACCACCAGCTCACCAAATGAGTTTCTTTAAAGTTGCTTACAGGACCACGAGTGAGGGTATCTTTCCTTCCCCAGCTGTGCACGTCCAACTCCAATTTTGGTGAGACTCACCTTCCTGTCTAAATCTGTGGGCAGTAGGCAGTAGGACGACCCTTTCATGGAACCAGGTTTCCTACCCTATGCCAGGTCTATCCTAGACCACCCACTTCTGAATCTATGTGGCTGAGGCATGATCTGGGTGGAGATGGAAAACGACCAGAAGCAGCCACCCTTCCTGTGTGTCAGGGTTGCACACATTCATAGACAGAGCTCCCCATTCCTCCCAATGAGAAGTCTGGGAGGACTCTTACCTTTGGAGTGAGATACTTGGTCATTATTTCCTTCCCCTTCTCTCCAAGTTTTTCATCTGGAGTAACTTCATACTCTGCCTAAAACAAAAGGAAAAGAGAACTACTAATAGTGTTGCTACTGAAGTTGGAATAATTATGGTGCCTTGGAACCTCTTGATCAGGAACCACCTGACCAACCCCCTCTTTCTGCAGAATAGGTAACTGTAGCACACAGAGAGGAAGACATGGACAGGGAGCTCAAAGTACAATAAAAAAAAAAAAACTCTACCCTCCATAGTTATTGATCCAGTCAATCATGAACTGAAACCTCTGAAACTGTGAATCCAATAGATTTCTGCTACATAATTGATTTTTTTCTAATAGAAAACAGAAATAGAAGTTTGACAAAAAAGAAACACAGTGGTTTTTCTAGATGTTCTTACCAGAACCTTAAAAGAAACAGGTAATATGACAAGGGAACAGGAACTGTTATTTATTTTTAAGGGAAAATGGGTTTACAACCTTAAGTAATATAGTATAGCAGTTCTCAACCTATGGATCACAACCCCTTTGGGGTTGCATATCGGAAATTTACATTATGGCCTTTTTTTTAATTTTTGAAACACTGTGTATCTCTGGTTGTCCTGGAACTCTCTCTGTAGACTAGGCTGGTCTTGAATTCACAGAGATCCACCTGCCTCTGCTTCTCAAGTGCTGGGATTAAAGGTGTGAGTCACCACCACCTGGCCAAATTACAATTCTTAATAGTAGGAAAATTATAGTTATGAAGTAGTAGTAAAACATTTTTACGGTTGGAGGTCACCACATGAGAAACTGTATTAAACGGTCTCAGCATTAGGAAGATTGAGAACCACTGGTATAGTCCATCATAGCGGGAAGGCCATGGTAGAGTTCATGGTGGCAGGAATCGGGACCCAGCCTCGTCACATTTTGTTAGATAAGGAAGTAGAACACTCAGGCGGAAAATAGATTTGAGCTGTAACATGTAAGGCTTGCCACTAAAGCAACATGTCAGCCATGGGGCCTAACTTCTATGTCCCAAAGGTTCTATAGCCTCCACAAACAGAATCACTATTCTAGGGACTAAGTGTTCAAACAGGAGACAGAGGAAATATTTGACACTCAAACCAAAACATTCTGTACTTGGCCCCCCATAGGCTCACAGTTGTCTCATAATGCAAAATCTATCAAACTCAACTTTAGTTTTTATGGTTCTGAGAATGTTCAAAAGTCCAAAAATCTTTTCTGAGACCCCTGAAACCAAAAACATACTCTCAGTTGTGATTTCTATAAAAAATTTAAAAGTTACATTCTTCTAATATATAGTGGTAGAATAAGTATTTCCATTCCAAAAGAACTGAAGAAAAGCAAGCCTAAACCAAAGCAAGAATGAAATGCAGCACAGCAAACACCAAACCCTGTCACTTCATGCCCAGCATCTAGGGTTTGTGGTGACAATATATGAGCTCCAATAGACTTGGCCAGTACCACTCCTATAGTCCTGTCAACTACAATACATATGAATTCCCTGCAGGGGCTGTGAACTGTCAGACATTTCTTGGTCTCATTGGCTTTTTCCTGGAAGCTCAGTACAAGCCTCCATGACACTGTAACTCTTGCATTCAGGTTGCCTGTGAAATTGGGTACTATGGCTAGCTCAAGATGTATCCAGGACCCCTTTTATTTCAGCTGCACTGGGTCTCTGAATGTCTACTCAGATACTCTTGGAAAGCATAGTAAATTGCCTTCAAAACATTAGTCTCAGGCACACCCCTCCACATACACAAACACCCACATTCTGCTTTCAAATCAATTTTCATTTTCATGTCCTGGAGTCTTCTATGACTAAGGTCTTATCCTCAAGACCCCTGTACTATTGTTCCTGTGCTCCATGATGCTATTCCCTCTAGCACTTATACCTACTTTTATCCTTGGCTTTTTCTGTGCCTACCCTGTCTACAATTTAAGTATGCCAACATTCTTTTCTTCACAAAATTCAACATTTTTCATATCTTTCTGTTCTACTTTTTGCTGTGGAATAATGAATGCTCTTGTACCCTGTAAAGATTTGTCACTTGTATGAGTTTAATTAAACACTGATTAGCCAATATCCAGGCAGGAAATATAGGTGAGGTGACCAGACTAGGAGAATTCTGGGAAGAGGAAAGCCAGACACAGTTGCCACCCAGACACAGAGGAAGCAAGATGAGAATGCTGCACAAAAGGTACCAAGCCATATGGCTAAACAAAGACAAGAATTAAGGGTTAACTTAAGATGCAAGAGCTAGAGAGAAATATGCCTGAGTCATTGGCCAGACAGTGTTGCAACTAATGTAGTTTCTGTGTGATGATTTGGGTCTGGGTGTCCAGGAAATAAAAGTGCAGTCTCCATTAGCAACTTTTTGCTCGTAATTTTTTCTATAAATTAAACTAAAAGAAGAGAACAAAAACCAGGTCACAGTTCGACTACACTGTCATGAAATTTCTTCCACTAAACATATTAGTCCATTATTTTAGGATTTAATCTCACACATATGTAAAATGTAGCCAGATCCTTTGTAATACGAGTGACCTCTAGCCCAATTCCTCATAGCATTTGTTTCTCTCTGATACCTCCTTGGCCTAGCCTTTACTATCTACATTTCTACCAACATTAGAATCTTCTGATCTCCCACCAGAATGGCCCATTAAGCTCTACTTACAACACTCTAGCCTGCAGCTCTAAACGCTTCCACGTTCCTTCTGCCAACCAGTTCTAAAGGCCTACAAACATCATGATTAGGTCTATCACAGTAAAAATCCACTTTCTCAGCACAATTTTTTTGTTTTAATTACTTTCTCTGTTGCTGTAACAAACTTGAGAAGCAAATTAAGAGAAGAAGAATTTATTCTAGTTTAGAGTTTTAAAGAATATTTTTCATTGTGTGGGGAAAGCACAGAGAAGTTCATGGCAGGAAGAGTTATGACATCACATCTTGACAGATCAGGAACCAGGGAGTCAAAGGGTGCCATTCTCACTCCTCAGTAGTGAAAAGCCACTTTCCCAGAGTCATGAAGTCGGAGCTGACATGGCTGGGCCTCTGATTTCCATACCCAGAACTCTTCCTTGGTATCATTAAGAAACTTAGGACTCCAGGTCACTGAACAATTCAGAAAATTTCAAGTTCTAAAGAAATCAGAAAATCAAAGTTTTATATTTTCCTTGAGCCAAGAAGGGCTCCTTCACTCATCCAATGCACTTGCTAAATGGATAAAAGGTCTCATGTGTAACAAGAAGCTTGAGTGAGTTTGCCTTTCTCATTTAGATAAAGCAACTAATTGCAGATGGAGTATAACCACTTCAAAACCTATCACCTGAGAATTCGTCAGCCTCAACACCAAAGTACAGGCCAAAAAGGCATAGGAAATGACCAATGCAGACAGATCTGTACTCTTCCAAGCACTAAATGATATAGTAGATCCTTGCCAAATTGAAGGCAGCTCACAGTTCAGGATCTAAGTCCTGGTTCCCTTATGCCTATCAAAAGACACTCCTGGAAATACAAAAACAAAAAAAAAAACAAAAAAAAAAGTCAGAAAGCATGTGGAAGGTCCACCAAGGGAGCAGTACATTTTTATCCAAATCAAGTAAGTTCCCTTGCCTTGATGGCCCTCTTCTAATAAAAAATAGCCAAGAGTCACAATACTTCAATATATAAACACGAAACTTATGACCATTTGGGCTAAGGCGTGGTTGTTCTAGAAGATATGCAACCTTTTAATTTATAGGCTACAACTAAGGCTCAGAGAAACAAAGAACTTGCCCAAGTTCACACAGCCAATAGCAACAGCGTAAGAACTGTCCGAGTAGACCCTGATTCCCACTGTGCCATCGGGTCACAGCATATTTCTCCTACAATCAATTCCTCCTCACTAGCAAAAGGAGACTTGGATTACTGCAACTTTCATGGTGCCTTGCTTTGACTGATGAATTTTTGAGAAGCTTTAAGGAGAGGAGGTAGCTCTTTCTTCTTAATTCTTCCTGTTACTTTCTTTCCCTATATTCCCAACAATCTTCCCTAAAATTCAGATGGGTACACACATGTAAACACACACACACACACACACACACACACACACACACACACACAGAGAGAGAGAGAGAGAGAGAGAGAGAGAGAGAGAGAGAGAGATTACATGGAGCACTTTTGACAGACTTGTCCAACATGCAGAAATAACCGTTCCCAATATACAGAGGAAAACACTGAGGTTCCAAGTTTCACATATTACAGAGCGGTTGCAACAGAGCTTCAACACTAAAGCCAACCCCCCCCTTTTCCAGGGGGAGCAAAGAAGCACCCAGTATCCTGTGTTACTGGAAGCCTCACCCTGTGGTCTGGCACATGGACATAGCCAGACTGCTTTATAGGGCCAGGACCCTGGGCAAATGACTGACCACCATTTGTGGTAACTCAATCCCACTCTGAACACTGAATTTGCACTGTCCCAAAATACATCTATAAAGGCAGATTTATTTAACCAGACGAAGGTCTGGGGCTCACTGATCAGGCTCAGTGACTAGCTGAAAATATTATTGCTCTGGGTTCTAAAATCCATGTTAAAAAAAAGAAAATAACATCACATTCAGGTCAGCTGTCTCCCAGCTGAGGCCAGATGGATGCAAACTTCACCAGAAGGCAGCTGGGAGCACTTGGGGACAGGCCTTCCCACTCCTGGATCAAAAGACCTTTTTCTGACGAGACTGTCAGGCCACCACCACTTGAGAAGCATTAGTTTTGGGAGGCAGAAAACCAACAGAAAGATGCCAGCTGGGTTTTCCATGCTGATTAAGTCACCTAGAGTGACAGGCCTTGTCTCCAGAATGATCCAATGAAGGCTGGAGCTTGTGGGGATGAGAACTGAGAGGCCACTGAAAGAGAGAAGGAAGGGGCCATGATGGATGGGCCCAAGGCAGATCACATGGCACAAGGCTGGGACCAGCCCAGAACAACCTCTCTGCCAATATTCCTGTCCAGTAGTAAGGAAAAGTTCTAATCAGTTTATGCCAGCTCATATCAGAAAATGGAAGCAGCAATAGA